GAGGTGCGGGGCGGTAACGGAGCCGGCGGTGGAAGCGAGAGCGGGGGAGGGGGACGAGAAAGCGGAGTCGGGGCTGAAGCAGTTTCAGCAGTCACTCCTGGGAGCTGTGGGTGAGCTAGAGAGCCGGAGGTCGGCGTGGTGATGTGGGAAACTATGGGAGCAGGGGCAGGGTATACATGAAGTCAGAATTGGAAGCAGGAGGTTAGATACAGTGGCGGAGGCGCAGTGGCAGGCGGTGGCTAGATCGAAAGTTTGGACACGGGGGAGAGGCGGTTGAGGTAATAATGGAAAATAAGCGTGGCGGGATGAGAATCAAGATAGAGTTGGAGGGTGGAGCTGAGGCGGAAGTACTCGCAGAGAGATTGAGGACGGAGTGGTGGTGATGGTCACGATGAGGGTGGGGCAGTGTGGACATGATGTCAGAGTTGAATTGATTGATTGTTTAGTGTTTCCGGGAACGTCAACTACCAGTCATTAGTCCAGTAAATGTAGTGCATGTTTTGTTCGGGAGGTGACGGTGATATTCTCCTCACTGTATGGAGAGATTCGGCGCCGACCTACCGTCAGCTAGCGGGGTTTCCTTCAACCAGGTATCTCCCACCAGCGGGACACCGTCCCAGCCGCGACGAACTCTATGCCTCCCAACAGGCCTCCCGGCATGTGTCGTACTGTAGTGCATGCATAAGTAGTGTAGTGCATACATAAGCGAGTGGGGGTGTGTGCGGCAGAGGAAGGTGAGATCGCGCGCGCTCCGTGGCCCGTTTGCTAGTGTATTGCTCCGGCATTCGCCTGGTGTTAATCGAAGAAACCACGGAAAATCAGAATTGGAGACACGAGTTGAGGTACAAATGGAGGAGGCACACTGGAGGGTGGAGACACAAGAAGAAAGATTGGAAACGGCTCACGATAATGGAAACGGTGGGAGGCGGTAGCGAGGTGAGAATGAAGGAAGAGTTGGAGACGGGAGCAGTGGCGGCGATGTCGGAGGCACAGTTGGTAGCTAAGGTGGAGAGGCTGAGGTCGGCGTCGGGGTGATGGGAACGGTGAGGGTGGGGCAGTGTAAACACGAAGTCAGAACTGGAAACAAGGGATATAGTTGGCGGAGGCACATTGTCAGGCTGTGGCTGAGGGGGAGACCCTGGGGACATCGCGATGGTGATGGAAACGCAGGGACAGTAACGGGGTGGGAATGAAAACAGAAGGGGAGCTGAGACGGAGGTGGTGGAGGCACAATTGGTGTCTGAGGCGGAGAGGCGTAGTTGTGATGGGAACGGCGGGCGTAGCGAGCGTGAAGCAGAAGTCAAGACGGGTGGCACGAGGCGGGAGTGGAGGGACTGGGAGCGGGGTCAAGGGCGTGTGGAGACTGTGTTGGGGATAGCGCAGGCGAGTTACACAACGGTGGCAACGGCAGGGGGTGGGTTGGGACGGAGGCGGTTCCGCCAGACTCATTACACAAAAGCGGGCGCACCGCCGCCGCCGCCACACGCAATTGCGTCACGCACTTCGAATTACTGAGAATGAGTGACCCTACGCACGACGGTATAGCGTCCGCGAAAACTTCTTACTCCTCTGAAATGGCGTTTGTCGCGCTAATATTTGCGTTCACTCACATCTAGATAGAAGTTTAGCGACATTCACCCCGACATTACGTGAGTGAAATGAGATTGTTTTCATTACGTAACATACAAACCAAGGTTCACGTGGAGGAGGAAATTACATAAGTGTGAAAACATACACTTCCATGCGGTTTAAGATACAAGGTTGGTCGTATTTTCTTCTTACTAATACAATTTCAAAAAAAAACGTATAACACTTTTTTCAGGGATTTTTGTTTGAAATGAACGTAATTCTGATGCCTCAAAAACATACGTTCCACACCTGAGCTGAGGCAGAGAGAACAGTGAAACATAAGCATTCGTCATCTAAATACAGAGAACGTGTAAACGTTCTAAAAGGGGAACCTATGTCTAAATACGTCTCCTTTGACGAAGTCATAAAAAAGAATACAGCAGCTTTGAACTATTGCCAGGTCAAATTAAGCAATTAAGTTGAGAAATATTAGTTCATGCGATGTATTATTTACTTCAAATTCTGATAATAATAATTAATGGCGCAAACAATACTCAAAATCGTAGCAATAAATATACAAAATTCATCATCACGCCATTTGTTTGTAATTTTAATATCTCTTATTGATTTAGTTACATTTAGTGACGGATATGTTATCCGGTAATTTTATTTGTTCAGATTCTCTTCATAAAATACTTTATTCTGTAGGATTTTTCTCCTTTTTGATAGTAAAGTTGTAAAACCATTATCAATCAATAGTTACTGTTAAATATTGTAGTGGTAAAAATATAAACCACCACGCTATATTTGCGAATAAAATTGGCAACCAATGATACTAGCACGAACAAGCAAATTCTGTTGGAGAGTTGTAGGGTAGAAGAATAATCCTCCTGGCGAATAAGAAAGGATGCGTAGTTTAATCGTCAATCACTCGGACTAAGGAACCTGCTCTCGCTGTTTGTTGCATCAAGCACAGTACCTTTCGGCACGGCTTTCAAATGCCAGGCTCCGAGGTGTAACTTGTTCTGGTTTGGCGTCTGTCCAATTTTTTTAGCCTACATCATTGACTGAGATGGCCTCCGACACTATTTCCACTTCTCGCACTTGGTACATGTCTTTTATCCCACAGGTTGTTATTTCCTTTTCTTTTCAACGAATGTCTACAGAAGATTTTCATCCAATAGCCCAGAAACACTCACCATGGGGTGACAAGCCTGATCACTCAATGAAGATACCGGTATATTTCATTCGACATTACGAAATTTTCATAACAAATGCTTCTCCCGGCGAAACTTCTACTGTTAACATTAATATGTAATATTAAAAAGTACTGATATTCCGAATGCGAAAATGGTTTCACATAAATTTGCATGTAATTACTGTTAATACATTTAAATACTGAAACAAATCACTAACATTTAAAATTATGTACAAGAATTTTAAAAACCCGTAAATATTCCGGTAGGTAGACACCAACAAAGTGTGTATATTCTGGTTTGTATCAAATAAATTTCATGCAGTAATCATTCGACAAAATATGTAGATTCGTTTTTTATATAACCTAGAATTTATATGATATTAAATTGTATGAGGAAAAAGGTCACAAAATGAATTATTTTTGTTCCATTCTATCTGTTTTTCAATTAATACTTTCTGTTAATTTAATATTAAAAAAATAAAAGACCCGAATTACCTGCAACTATTGTGTTGCAATGCAGTATTGCATTATAATTAAAATCAATTTTTGTGTTCCATATTTTAAGCTTTAGTTCTATTTCTATGTTCGACCCCAAAATTAAGCGTTCTGTTTAAATTTTCCAAACATTTCAGATTGCGAGAAAAAAATCGTTTTAAATCACATTTATATATAGTAAAAATTGATTACATTACCACCTCATGTGATAATTTAAAAATGTTTAGAAAAGAATTTCAACGAATTTCCCAATGGAGACGGCGCTTTGAGGATCAAGGGCGCGAGGCAGATGCAGCAGCCTTCGCAACCTCATCTCCACCGCCCACACAGCCCCGCCCCCACCCCAGTCTGCGTTTCTCCCCACCGCCACTACCCACCTCCCCCACCCCCTACCGCGGTAGTCCACCATCTCTCGTCACTCACCCCACCGGGAGAAGGGGCTCAGAGCATCAGATGATGTCAGTATACCCTCTGATCGGAAGGGCCTAGATTCGAGTCCCGACGGAAGCAATATTTTCGTCACTGTCGTCATCGTCACCTCCAATTCCCCAACCCTACTGCCACTACTGTTCACTACTTCTTCTGCTTCCACCGCCACTGCCTCCCCTGCCACTGTCCCTGACACGCCCACCGCCGTCCCTGTCGCACGCGCAGTCAGGAACATTCCTTCTGCTTCTATCGTGTCGCTGTCTTGCCCACACCCGCTCTTCTCGACACTCACCATTTCCGCTAGTGTCTCAGAATAGTTTCTGTCGCCCCATTGGAACGCTTCGCTTACCTTCCAAAATTCCGCTTGACCATCGCCATCATCATCGACACTTCCGTCGTGCTCTCCATTGTCACAGCTATCATTTCTGGCACCCCGGATATCATTACTACACTTTCTACCATTGTTTCGACTCTGCCACCGTCGCCACCACTACAGCTGCCGTCGCTACCGCCACTGTCATCGCAACCGTTCCTGCTACTACCACATGGTAGTTACGTTGACTGCTATCATCGCTACCAACGCCACTGACACGACCACCGCTCGCCCCACTACCGAAAAAATTCTCGCCACTCCCATTGGGTCCGTGTCTAGCTCTCCAAACCTTTTATTAAAGCAGTCAACCTTATCAACCCCCCTCCCATTGCAGCCCCCACAGCTGTCGTCGCCTCTGCCGTCGCAGCCGACCCCGCCGCCAGCGCTGCCACGCGATGCGTCGGCTGCGTGTAAATGTACTGGAGGCTGAACGGTCGAGGTCCTGGCGGACGCACGTCCCCAGAGCTTTTCCGGCTTACTCGCGGTCTGTCCGTCTGCCCTCCGACCTCCGATCAATACTTCGAAAATTCATCCAACAGTAAGCGCAGAACGTGGTTTACATACTTTCGTGAAGGAGAGTATTGAGGCGCGAATGTTATTGGTCTGGAAGTAATATTCTGTATTTAACGTCGTTACCGATGTCTCGCGACCTAGCTTGTATTTCAAAAGGAACATTCACTGATTTGAACAAAGAATCACAACACAAATGAAATCACGTGAAACTAGGATTTCGTTATTGTTGGTCGTGCACGTTTGTTCGTAACCAAGTGAAATTTTGCAGCCCACCGGAAGGAATCCATTGACTAGGAGCAAAACTCTTACCCCGGAACGAAACTTTTCTTCAGATGGGAATTTACGAGAAGTTGCGTTCCAAAACCAAACTATGCTTTGAATTGTGATTCTCTCCATGAATTCCATTCAACATTCAGTTTGATATTTCCAATTCATGACTTCACAGAAAGGATTTAGATTCAATTCAAGTGACAGGTGGAGTAATTATAGAAATGTAAATAAACATGAGGCATTGTTTTGTCGTGTTTATTTATCCAGAACGTTTTTCGGTCGATTTAGCGGCCAACATCAGTGCGATTGTGAGGCGGTTGGAGGCCCGGGTTCATGCAGAAGGAATAAATTGAGGAATTTATTTCCGTTGTTTTCAAGAAACGTTTTGCATCAGAACCTTATATGATCTCCGAGCCTGCCACTGTGAGAAAACCAATGCATCGAAAGCGTCTCTCAACTGGTGACAGATTTCTGGCGATAAGAGCGGCGAAAGGACAAATGGCGCCCAGCGAGTTTCGCGCTGCGTCCTGAGGCAAGGCCACAAAAGGTTCCAATGTAAAATCTGAGAGAGCACTATATACAATGATTTTTTATATACTTCAAAATTTAGTTACGAGAGTTTCTCGGTGCTCGAAAAGCTGGTACAAATGTCTTGTCAATCCGAGTATCCATCTTGGTCGGTGTTGCTTGTTAGATCATTGAAACAACAGTGGTCACACCCCTGTTAGATATAAGATAGAACTTATTGATCTATTTTACTTGATTAGGTGTTTCGTTTTGGATTGATAATAATGACATGTGATTGGCCAATATTGTTTCCAATTCACGGAAATGCAGTTTTGTTTCATTTCAAAAACAAAACGAAACAGTTTTGTTTTTTAGAAACAAAACGAAACTGACTCCAACTTTATCGTTCAGCGATAATGAAACTCAATTCATGCAGACTTTTGTTTTGTTACAGAAAAAAATGTATTCAGAAAATAATTTTATTCGAGCCCATCTAGAAAGTGATACAGTGTTTGAACATGGAAATTTAACTTTTTTATAAACCAGCCGGGAAACTTATCAAAAATACTTTCTACGTAAGTTTAATACGTACTTGAAAGAACAACAATTAGAAAACGAAACACGAACCAACTTCCAAACGTAAAAATACGTAGCATGATCTCGTGATTGTCAGTTAAATTTGTATATTCCCGCCTGAGATACGGCATAATATTCTGGGGAAATACGTCTTATAGCTCCCTGGCTTTTAGATTACGAAAGTGAATTTTACGAATAATAAGCATTTAATATATTATATATCATTGGGATTGTATAATTGTAAAGTACCTGTAACAAGTATTGTACTTCAGCTTCTGGGTCAATGACCCCATCTCGATCAGGTTTTCCAGATCCGATCGTCCAGTTTCCTTAATCCTCGAGCAAATGTTGAGATGGCCCCTTGTTTTGGTTCTGGACATAAATGTAATTTCAAATTAACTTCTCCCCATAGCACGTCACACAGTTTTAACTGTTTTTGACATAAATATTACCAAACAAATTGTCATAAACATGTAACCTAGAACAAAATATTGAACATCACAACAAAAGTGGCTTTCCATGAAACGATGGAGTTCCTAGAATCGGTTTATTGGCTTCGCGTTGGAAATTTCACGTCTAGTTTAGGAACCATCCACTTTTTTGACTTGTAATGTATATTACTATTTTTCCTGCGATACAGAATCAAAACTGAGCGAAACAACTCATTTCGCATCTGTTTTCATTCATGATTTCAACATTCCGCATTGGTTCACAATTTTACACTGAAATGTTGGAAACATCAGAAACAAATTGAAGAAATTGGAACTGCAATACCCTACAGTAAAAGTAGGAAAAAACATTTAACTTTTTTATGGCATTGAATAGAATGCAAAGAGCTTTGGGATGTGTAACAAACATGTCATACGATAACGCGCTGTCACGAATGAGCCGCTTACACAGCCCTTGAGGGGATTCCGGCATAATACGCTCTTTTACGTTTGCAGTAAAAGTATTACAAATGGAAATGAATGTTTTTTTGGTTTTGTACGAGGTTAGAATTCTCAAAACAACGAAATGCAGATGTTATATTTTTGTTGTTTTATAATATTTCAAAACTTAGAGATTATCATGTGACCTTACCAATGCCCTCTGCCCCGAAAGCTAAAGGAAACATTTGTTTTCATTTTCTTTTAATGTTTCCGAGTTTTTCTTTGAGCATAACTAGTACGAATATATACATGACTCAAAATAAATGGTACTAACTTCTAAGCTGTGCAGAAGGATAGAAGGTAATAACATTTTGCCATTGAACATGTAGTGGAAAATTTCTTATAGTAGAAATAATCGTACATATATTTACACGTGTGACATGTGCCACTAATATTCAGTCAACCTCGTGTGCAAAGTTGTTTGACAGGTCACGTCAAGGGAATGGCATGTACCTGACGAACATCTGTGCAAACGGGATTACCTAAACATCAGGACCAAATGCATATAAATGGCTATAAGTCCCTTATCTGCAACCTCCGTCTCTCCCTCTCTCTCCCTCTCTCTCTCTCTCTCTCTCTCTCTCTCTCTCTC